TTGGTATAAAAATTTTGTATGTATTTTAGGTGTGTCCCTTATTACCTTTATTATCAATTGGTGGCTCACCGAACTTGATTAAAATTTCTAGTATGTTTTAGTCAGGTTTTTTACTGAGATATATATATTAGACTTTATTTCAGTGTTTTAGGGTTAAATTGGCTGTTAGAAAACTTCTGTATTGAAGGATTGTATTACAAGACTCACTATCATCTCTACATTTATAGTAAAACTCCTTTAGCATCTTCAAATGTGAATGTTGGATTATAGTCAAACCGAGTAAATCCTTAATATTTGATTTTTTTTTTTAAATTTCGCCAATGACATAGCAATCTGTTTAGCAATTTTTTTTTTTTTTGGTAATGTTTTTTAACAATATATTAAAGGCTAAAATGGGTATAATCTGTAATTAATTTCTTGAGGATAGATTATTAATCACTGTTTAATTGTTTGATCCCAAAAGAGATTGTGTGAAATGAAAGAAATATATGAGATTGCTTTGTCTTATTCTAAAAGGTATGATGGTAATTGCTTTTACTTTAGTTGGAAAGGGCCATTAAGTGTGTTTGTATCTGTGATAGTAACAATGTATTAAAGGCTAAAATGGGTATAATCTGTAATTAATTTCTTGAGGATAGAATATTAATCACTGTTTAATTGTTTGATCCCAAAAGAGATTGTGTGAAATGAAAGAAATATATGAGATTGCTTTGTCTTATTCTAAAAGGTATGATGGTAATTGCTTTTACTTTAGTTGGAAAGGGCCATTAAGTGTGTTTGTATCTGTGATAGAGAAAGGAGAGCTAATACAAAAGTAACTTGTATTCAATATTTTTCCTTACTCTTGTCATTTTCCAGTGAAATTTTGTAAGGCTTTTGATAATTTTCAATTCTTGAACTTTCAAATTCACGGGCCTCGTTTGGGAACCCTCATTTTTCACTAAAAAATAAAAAAGTTACTAAATTAGTCAAAAAACTAACAACTCATACTAAAAAGTCAAAAAAAAAAAATTTATCTCTATTTTTTGCACATCTTTTCGTAAAAAGCTAAAAAGTCATCCCAAACATACTAGTTTTTTTTAACTCATATTTTAGCCAAATAATCAAAAAATTACTAAATTAGTCTGTTCCCAAACGAGGCCACAAAATTAAGATTAGTAATTTTTTTTAATATTTATTTTGGTAACCAAAAAAAGGCTATGAGTAGTAAATAAAAAGGCTTTGGTAATTTTTTCAACTTAAATGGTATTTCGTTTTTATTTATTTATTATGAAAAAAAGAATGATAAGTTAGGTATAAAAATTTAAGTTAAAAGATTTTTAGTGTCCGCCAAATTTTTATGTAATTTAGTTTGAGTAGTTAATCAATGTATGATCTAGAAAATCTTTGATTTGTGTGAGATATTAAAAAGGGATAAATTACGCTTTTCCCACTTTATATTTGGTCATTTTCTCAATTTGGCCCTTCAATCTCAATTTGGCCCTTCAAGTTAGTTTTATTTTTTATTTTTTATTTTTTTTCATGTTTTATTTTTTTTTTTCTAATTTACTTCAAAAACTAATTTTTATCTAAAATTAGATACAAAATGACACATTGATAGTCATTTAACATAAAATTATTTTATTACATATAACCTGTACCTTTTATACAAATCCAAACTTCAATATAATAGTATTTTTTATGTTTCGTGGCAGTTAACGTGGCCTTTTCTATTTTATTTTAAGCAAAAGTTAGTTTAGGAGTAAATTGGAAACCTTGAAACATAAGGTTAAAGTGGGCAAAAACAAACTTAAAGGGCCAAAGTGAAAAAATGACAAAACATAAAAGGGGGCAAAATGCAATTTTTTCTATTAAAAAGTAAGAATACAAACAAGCTGAGCTGAGTTTTCGAATGTTTGAATTTGATTCACTATAAATTAGTCGAGTTCAACCTCGAGCAGAGCTCAAATCGAGTTAAAAATTTGAACTCGAGTTCGACTTATCAAACTTCATTAATGTGAATTATAAAGGTAAATTACTAATGAATAATGTTATATGTATTAATTAATGTACACATTTGTGTACTAGCAGATGATGTGATATCATTTGTATGGTTTTGAGTATTTGTAACTTGTATAATAAATGTGTTCAATAATAATATCATAACACTAGTTGATACACTAGTGTGTATATTAATTGGTGCATGTAGCACCACTGACTATCAATATGTCTTAATAGTTAGATTTAATTTCTATAAGACTCTATTGAAAATAAGTCCTAATAAAATTGTAGCTAAAAATATTTTTTTGTGACAATTTTTTGCATATATCACTAAAAATTGACAATTAGTAACTTTTTTTTGTTAGGTTTTTATAAATTGTCACTAAAACTTACAATTAGTGATATTTTTCTGTGACGAATTTTTTAAACTATCGTTGAAAGTTGAAAATTCGTGACTTTTTTTATGACGGTTTTTTTAAATTGTTGTTAAAACTTATAATTAGTGACATTTTTTGTGATAAAATTTTCACACTGCCGCTAAGAATTAACAATTAGCTACGTTTTTTAATAGTATTTGATAAAAAATGTCATCAATTATCATAGGGCCTATTAGACAAAAAGTTCACCTATTAGGACTTACACGTAAGTCTCTCAATTTTTAGAAAGTACAAAATTTTATGATTTTGTGTATATATATATATTTTTATTTTATATATATATGATATATATATATATATATATATATATATAACTCATATTAATATCAATTAAATATGTAAATTTGCACAAAATATCATAATAATAATAATAATAATAATAATAATAATATAATTATTATATTATTAAAAATAAATATGAATTTATTTCCATTGTGCATAAAAGCCTTATCGAGGCTAGCTTAGTCCTATTAAAGTTCTGTTGATTGTTAAACAAATTTAAAATTTGAGTTTAATTTATTCATGTTGTAGACAAATTGAGTTCAAATAAATTTTAAAGAAATTAAATTTAAACTATTTATAAGTAACTTGGTTGAGTTTATATGTAATTTTTTTTTGGTTAATGAGTAAACTTTTCAAACTTATTCTCTGTCAATTTTAAAATCAACTATCTAATGTCGGTTTAATCGGAATAGGACGATGAGCAAATCTCGGGTGTATGTACTGATTCCACAATACACACACTATTTAAGTTAGATAGTGTAACTGTCATGATTTAACCCCACACTTAAATCCTAAATACGATTCGTCCGCACTTAAAAGAGTCATCTTAAGACCACTATATACTAAAATCCCTAAAAATTAATCCTAAAAAATGATCTCAAAACTTATACCAAAAGCTTCTCAAAGTATCAGAACCCCTTGGTTTATCGTATGTAACTTTACTAAAAAGGAGAGTGTAATTAATTATCCTCAACATATGAATATGGGTGTGGATGATTAAACTCCAAATTTAAAGAAGGGCATGGCACGGCTCAATCATTGAAGTAATCACACTGTAATTTCAAGGACACGTGTTAAAAATCCCATTGCACTGCAAAAAAGGGCGGCATCAAAGTTTGAAAGGGCAGACAAAAGTGGAAAGACATTTGGATTTGAGTGATTATTCCCATCAAAAAATTCTTCAATAATAGAGTAATGAATAACTCTTCTTTTTCTTTATTATAAATAATTTGGGAAATATATATATATATATATATTTTTTATCTAGAACAAAATTGACTGGGCTGGCCAATTGCAATCATGAAAATGAAAAGAAAAAAAAAATCAGGTTGCATATGTATCTATAGCATAGGTATCAATGTTAAATTTCACTAAGAAAGTCACCACTTGGTTCCAATTAGTGGGTACCCTATACCCACCAAAGTAAAAGCATTCAAAATAAACAAATAAATAAATGCTGAAAGGTCTTTTTTTTTTTATTAATTTAATAAATTTTTTATATCTCCGCTCTTTTTTAAAAGAGATAACTGACATAGGTGAGCCCATAAAGGATATGACCCACTTAAGGCTCAATCCATGATTCATAATACTAAAGCCCAACATTCTTGAAACCCAACGTTACACCAAGCACCAATGACATCTAAACACTTGGAGGTCGTTTGGGTCGATGAGGGTTTCTGTGGAAGAGGGGAGTGATCTCCCTCGGCTTCACGAGGTCGTCGGTTTCCGACACTGTCTTCAGCGGCGGCGTGGAGAGCTTCTTGGTATGTGTTTGTGGTATGTGTTAAAAAAAAACTCCAGCGGGCAGCTAAGGCGAGGTTGCCGGCCGGCTGCCCGCCGGAAAGAAAGGAGTATAGGCTAAATCTTATAGCTCTGATACCATGTAAGATAAATTGATAGAGAGAGAATTACAGAGAAAATGAATTATGTATTATTGATTGATAGTGCAGTCGGATGTGGAGGCCAATCAGTATACGTTGAAGGCATGTGTGGAGTCCATGACGGCGGTCACAAATCTGTCGCACCGGCTACAGAGTAGGACAAATGAGGTGCAGCAGTTAAACTCCCAGCTGGCTCTGCTCCAACGCATGTATAAGGATGCGCGAGCAGAGATGAGCGTGCTAAGGGCAGAAAACAAGGAGCTGAAGCGGAAGGCCACCGTGATGTTCCGATTTGGAGGGCCGCCATATGCTGCAGTGGAGGAGCATGGAGCAGTGAGCATGCCCAGTGGAGTGGGAAAGACAGAGGTAGCACCGTCAAGGGCCGCCCAGGACGGAGGTAAGAAGAAAAGACCGGCGGCAGAGTAGAGAAAAAAAAATCCCACTGTGGGTGTGGTTGTGGTGTTGTTGTTGTTGTTGTTGTTTTTTTTTTTTTTTTTTTTTTTTTTTTTTTTTTTTTTTTTTTTTTTTTTTTTTTTTGAATAAAAAATAAGAATACAATAAAATAGGAAAAGAAAACAGAGAATATATGTGGGGGGAGTATGTGCATGATAAAATGAATTAGATATATAGATATATATATATATATATAAAAGAGACCATGTGCGTAGGTCTGATTAAAGAAGGTTGGGCGGTGGGTTGATTAAAAAAAAAAAAAGGACCATGTGCATAGGTCTGATTAAAGGAGGTTGGGCGGTGGGTTAATTAAAACAAAAAGGGACCATGTGCATAGGTCTGATTAAAAGGGACCAGAGAGAGCTGAGAGAAAAGAAAGAGTTTGGGGGTTTGACATCTGAGATCTGTCGATCCGCCAAGGAGCAACATCGGAGGCGACAGTGGAGAGGTAGCAAAAACGGCGGTGGCTAGCGTTGTGCCTGGGCGCCGAACACCTTCTATGCAAGAGTGCATACGAGCTCTGACTTTCAAGTTGGCGTCGATCTTGCCGGCGGGTATGAACATGAAGCCGATTTGGCTGCCGGAGTACAGTAACTGTAGTGTGCTGGCGTAGTGGGTGAACACAGCTCTGTTGGGGTTCTTGACGGAGACGTATTGGGAGAACGTGAAGTTGACGGTGCTGTTAGCGAGGGAGAAGGTGGGGAGTTGGACGGCGTTGACGGAGATTTGGGGGTCTCTGGGTTTGAATACGGTGAAGAACACGATAAGGATGATGATGATTACGAAGATCAAGAAGATTGTGGCGACGATGCATGATGCGAGGTTTGTACGGCCAGATGGTGGTTTGTGCCGTGGTTTGCTCATATCTATCTATCCACCACCGAGCAGTGGTGAACAGCGGAGCATTGCAGAGCCAATGCAGGTGAGGAAGTCGACGGTGATGGAGCCAATCGAGATCTGACTCACGATTTCTCTGCCTTCTTCACTGATCTCTCTCTCTCTAGGTTTCAAAATCTCTCTCATGTGGTTGTCCTGGTTTTGTTTGAATAAGCATGAGAAATAGTCTTCTTCTTGCTCGGAGCCAGCGATAGAACAGCCACAGCCGGAGGAGAAGAAGCCGGCACCGGAGAAGGCTGCAGCGGCGGCGGCGGCGGGATCAACGAGATCCGATGTGCCGGCGGGACACGTGGCGATCTGCGTGGGGAGTTGATTGATATATTACAAGATTGTTGTATATTGATTATTACAAGGATGTATTATATAGGAGAGGTTTTGGGAGAGTAGGTGAGGAGTGAGTGGTGGAGGTAGGTTTGGTGGAGTGTAGTAGGTGATAGGAGTGAGTGGTGGAGGTAGGTTTGGTGGAGTGTGTAGTAGTAATTTACATTTACATTAACACTCAACATATGAATATGGGTGTGGATGATTAAACTCCAAATTTAAAGAAGGGCATGGCACGGCTCAATCATTGAAGTAATCACACTGTAATTTCAAGGACACGTGTTAAAAATCCCATTCCACTGCAAAAAAGGGCAGCATCAAAGTTTGAAAGGGCGGACAAAAGTGGAAAGACATTTGGATTTGAGTGATTATTCCCATCAAAAAATTCTGCAATAATAGAGTAATGAATAACTCTTCTTTTTCTTTATTATAAATAATTTGGCAAATATATATATATATATATATATGTATTTTATCTAGAACAAAATTGACTGGGCTGGCCAATTGCAATCATGAAAATGAAAAGAAAAAAAAAAAAATCAGGTTGAATATGTATCTATAGCATAGGTATCAATGTTAAATTTCACTAAGAAAGTCACCACTTGGTTCCAATTAGTGGGTACCCTATACCCACCAAAGTAAAAGCATTCAAAATAAACAAATAAATAAATGCTGAAAGGTCTTTTTTTTTTTTAATTTAATAAATTTTTTATATCTCCACTTTTTTTCAAAAGAGATAACTGACATAGGTGAGCCCATAAAGGATATGGCCCACTTAAGGTCCAATCCATGATTCATAATACTAAAGCCCAACATTCTTGAAACCCAACGTTACACCAAGCACCAATGACATCTAAACACTTAGCAAGTGAAGAACCAGCCACATCAGCAGACAAAGATCCTGCAGAGTTGTTGCACCACATATCAGCCATTAATGAGTTTCCCTGCAACATTTATTACGATAACCCTTCACGTCGGAACATAACAGCCTCACCACGAACAAGACAAGCTGGAACATAGACTTTCGGCCAACATGACAGCTCGGAGTGGACAAGGAAATGATGAGTAAAGGATATAAGCAGGCTTCTAAGACAAAGAAAAGGTTAAGTTCCTCATCACCATTCTAGCTCTACATTCCATCACTCTCACTTCTCTAACTTGTTCGTCGGAGGGTTCGTTGGGGGACTCTCCGTTTCCTGTTGAACTCTTGTGCAGGTTTTTCTGTAGGCTCGACAATCGGACACCGGTTTGGGAAGCGTGGATCTTCCCGACCCGTTCTATTTGGAACTCTCAGTATCATCAATAACTATACTATCAGTCTCCAGAATATGTATTCGATTTCATTTTGGTTTTTAATATTATATTCTATTAATTTGATTTTCAAATTAACCAAATTCTATTTCAATGGTACACAACACCATTTTCATGCAAATTTGAACGAAAATACCCTTGCCCCTTCTTCCTTAATGAAATTTAAACATATATTATTGAAGGCTACTTTAAACATTAACACAATTGAAATATCAAAAACTAAATCACATTGGGAGTCAATAATGTATTTAACCATATCCAAAATACTTTAGGAATTCAACTATAATTATTACTTGCCCTATGATGTCAAAGCCATTGCAATTTCTTTCTAAACCACCCTAAGTATTTGCTAATAATACAGGGCAGGCTAAGTGTATAAATAAATATAATAAAAAAGGTCAAACAACTCAAAAAGTAAAAGACAGAAAAATGATTCTCTTTGTCAATATTTGTTTCTTTACAATTTTTTTATGAGGCTGTGTGTGCGCCTCAAGTCACAACTCCTAACTCTTTAAAGATCACCCAAAATAAAAATAAAAATAAAAATATTATTTAAAATAATTGTACTTTTGGACCTACTTCTTAATACATGTTGACTCTCACTTTAGTGGTCCTAATTGATGCCTCAGCCGTTCGACTTCAATGTTTTTCACCAAAGTGGAGGCTCCTTTTGGATGGATTTCAAATGAATCAAGTGAATTTGATGTTAAATTTTACAAAATGGTAAATTATACTTTTCACCTAATTTGACTCAAGTTTATTTTAATTTCTATTGTTTCGATTTAAATGATATATTTTAAATTCAATTTTAATTTGATTATTTGATCTAAATTATAGTCAATTTTATTTACATGTACTCATCAAGTGAATGTAAGAAAATTGTGAGTATTTAACGTTCAATTTGGACAAAATAACCAACTTGAAGTTAGACTAAATATGATTAATAGTGTTTAGATTGTAACAATAGAAACCAAAGTGAAAGTTAAGTTAAATTATAAAGGTAAAAATGTAATTGATCTTGTATAAAATAAAGATATATATTTGGTAATTGATAAAAAAATTTATTTTTTATCATGCAGAAAGTTTTACGGGCCTTTTCAAAATTTTGCTTTTTGGTGAGAAACTATTATATTACCCTAATAATGTTGTGAAATCTTTGTTAACATAATAAAAAAAGACATGATAGAATTTTTCTAAGTATAAACGGTAATCGTCTTTTATCACCTCTGATATTTCCCCCCAAAATAGTTACTTTTTATATAGAATTAATTTTTTTTAGTTGAACCAAACATGCTTTTTAATGTTGAATTTTTGCCGAACCTTTTTCATTTTAAATTCATAAATCTAAACCCAAGCTTAGGCATTATTAAGCAAAGGCTAATAAACCAAATTATTATATTTGTATGTGTTGTCTTAAAACTAAAGCTAAGATGATGGTGTGCCTTGTTCCACATGAAGGCATGATCATTAAAAGCATTCCCTAGCATATATAAGGCCCATGTGTGAGCCATTTGACCACATTTAAGTGTGAATTTGAGTTTTCAAAAACATTTTTTAACATTTTTAACTTGTATTTTTTTTTAATTGTTAGTGAATCTTTTAAATATTTCAGTCAATTTTTATTTTTATTTTTTAAAATGCACCTAATCTAGATAAGTAAAATATTTTTGAAAAAATCTTTAAAAAAATAAATAAAGAAAAAAAATATGAATATATATTGAATTTATTTTGTATTTTTTGGAATTTAGTAAACTTTTAAAAGATTTTCACAAAAATTGTATTTTTTAAGTGTATCTAAATTAAATGGATCAAAAGAGTATAAAAATTTATCAAAATATTAAAAACTTCACTAAAAAAATACAGATTAAAAATTCAAAAACTGCTTTTGAAAACTCCAAAATCAAATAATATGAGTTTGAAAGAAAATGTTCAAAAGAAAAGTTTCAAAGAGTAAATTTTTTTTTTCAATTGACAAAAATTAATTACAAATATAAAAAGAATTATATAAATCTAAACAATTATAGTCCGATAACCCAACAACTATCATAAGAAATAGCTCATCATAGGTAAAAATTAAAGAATTTACATAATGAGAAGAAATAAACAATACAATACAACTCACATAATAGGAGATAAATATTTAATATTTGTCTTTGGCAATGATACACCCTCACCTCACAAGTAGTAGTGTACAATAGTAGTAAACTAAATTAGTCCAATTAATTTTCAAAAAAGTAGTTAAACAATACTCAAAAATGTTTTTTTCATAAATAATTTGACATAAATGTGGATGTTTTATGGTTTCATTTTTGGTAAAAGCACAAGCATTGTTGTTTGTTATGAAAAATTAGAATAAAGAAGAAAGAGAACTCATGAATGATGAATTGTATGTAAAACATATATAATACTAAAAATTCCCCAAGTTTTGTATGTATGTGTGATGTTTTTGTATCTATCTTAATGGCCTCATCATGAAGTATAAATACATTTTATATGTTGTTGTAAAATATTGAAATAATTAAGATTAAAACTATTGTTACATTCACAACCATAGGCATTGTTGTCATTTCCTCGAAAGCGATATCTTCTATTTCTCTTATTCCTGGTAGGGAATCTAATATCAATATCATAAACTATGCACACACTGCATGCATGTAATTACTTTATGCTATGTTTAAAATGTTAGAGATAATTTTGGCAAACAATTAATTTAAGCAAATAATAAATAAAATAATATAAACAACAAAATCAAACCTTATAGTACTTCTACATATGGTTTATAAATAAGTTTGCGATTGAGGCCAGTGTTAGAATACTATGTCTTTAAGACAGAATTTTGTCCTCTCCAATCGTGTTTGAGAACAACAGACGCCTTGTTTACAGGATATAACAATCACCACAACCGAAAAGAGCACACTCTTTGATTATACAGCGAACCAAAATTATGTTTTGTAGTCACAAGAATTTAGACACATGAATGAACATTGAAGGTATGAAAGAAAGAAAGGAATTTTCGAAATTTCAGAATGAGTAAAACTGGAATGGGAGCTGCCTTTATATAGGCTTGTTGGCACCTATGTAGTTTGAACAGAAAAGACACGAAGAAGGGACATGACCCTTAGGTCATACCCTTTAAAATGAAGAGACACTATCCCTGGGCCATACCCTTTATAATGAAGAGGCACCAGAAAGGATTGCATCATTTCATTTGAATAGAGTCCATTTCCATTCACTTCTAAATATTTTCCAACAATCCTCTATATGAATGAAATTGACGAAACGAGAAATGCAACAACATGCAGACTATGTGGTTACAAATTCGAAAATATGTTGCATAGAATAGGTAGCTTTTGGCTTTGAATCTTCCCTTATAAAAGACTACCGAATTTACTAACTGATCAGTGAACATGATGTCTTGAACTGTTCTACTATTAATGTAAACTAAGACAATAATCTGTCACACAGCTTTATTTCCATACACAACTTGGTTCTATCGATTGTGTCTATTTTGGCCCTAGACAATATTATTCCTGGATTCATGAGTGTTCTAGAGAATTCAGCCTTATCAATTCTCATAGAATTGGCCCCTTCACACTCATATATGTGATCCTTATTTCAAGTCTCGTAAATACTCCTCTTGAAAGATATCCCTTTAGGTCTTTCAAGATATACGTAAT